GGGGCATGGCAGCGCTGGCAGCGGTGGGAGCACGGTGGCAGTGGGAAGCGGGGAGCTCCCGCAGATGCCGCCAGCACTGTCAGTAGCGTGGGGAGGGGTGGTGAGCGCCGAGCACCCACAGACACCACCGGCAGTGACAACGGTGGCCAGCTGCAATCACTGACTGCCTGCAGACACCACTGGCAGTGCGGGTTGGCAAGCAGCAACCACCTACAGGCACCACCAACAGTATTGGCGGCACCTTTTGTGAGGGGGTGCACTGCCATGCTCAGGGAGTTCATGTGCACCCCCTACACATCACCAATGGTCCTCTTCCCCCATAGGGCAGAGCCCCCCCACAGCACATGGACTACCCTCTCTTCAGGGTCCCAGGCCCCCCCAGGGGTGACAGCTCCCTCCTCCCTGCTGGTCTCCAGCCCCCTGCTCATTCTCCTGCTCATCTCCAGCCGCTGGAGGCTGGAGATGAGCAGGAGAACAAGCAGGAGGCTGGAGAGAACAGGAGGCTCATTCCTCCCACCCCCGTTGGTTCTCCCAGCTCCCCATTCATTCCTCTGCTCCCCATTCATTCCTCCCATCCTGTTCATTCCCCCCTGCCCCTGTTAATTCTCCCCACTCCCCATTTATTCTCCTATTCCCATATATTCCCCTGCTCCCCACTCATTCCCCGTGCCCCCGTTCATTCTCCCTGTCCTGTTCATCCCCCCCACTCTCTGTTCATTCTCCCAGCTCCCCACATGCTCTCCCGGCCCACCCCACACACTCACTGGCAGTAGCAGAGAATGAGCAGGAGGCTGGAGAGAGCAAGGGAATTCTCCAGCTTATCTCCAGGGGATTGTCTCCAGTCTTCTGCTCATCTCTAGCTCCCTGCTCTTTCCCCTGCTTGTGTCCAGCCTTGGGAGGGAGCAGGAGGCTGAGACTGCCCCTGGAGACATTCCCCTGCTGCCTCCAGCCCCCTGCTCCTTCCCCTGCTTGTCTCCAGCTGCAGAAAGCTGGAAACAGCAGGGGAAGAAGCAGGGGGTTGGAGACAGCCCAGGAGACATTCCCCTGCTGTCTCCAGCCTCCTGCTTCTTCCCCTGATCCACTGAGGCTGAAGACAAGTATGGGAACGAGCAGGGGGCTGGAGACAGCCCCGGAGACATTCCCCTGCTGCCTCCAGCCTCCTGAGGTCCTTTCCCCCCTCCTTCAGCCCCCCAACCCCCTGCTTACCTGGCAAAATCCGGGTCTGGGTCTGGGTCCCTGCAGCTTGCACCACTGCCTGCCCAGCATGGGCAGGCAGCGTGCTTCAGGAGTGGGGCAAGGGCCAATCATAGCGACACTCTGGCACTCTGCCAGAGCATCTCTGGAGGACTGAGGCTCCGGTTGCCTGACCTAGTTTTTTCACCTGGGGCTTTGTTTGACCCCTGGATATCCACAGGTCTAATGTTCTCAAAGGGGGTTGAGATGGGGCAAGAGGCACGTGTGCACTCATCTGGATGCGCTCATTAAGTGCAGCAGTATCTATATCAAATTGTATAAGTCTCTGGCCACTAGTGCTGTGCAAAATGGGCCCTATTTGATTTGAATTTGAATTTGGCCTGAATAAGGGATAGTGATTCAATTTGTTGATTCGGATCACTGTCCTCAATTCGATTTGGCTGAATCCAAATCTGAAGATTCAATGCTGATTCAGAGAATTGGTGATTCAGATATAGACACAGCTTTAAATGTTTTTTCTACATACCTCGAGGTACCAGGTGCGGCTTGTGAATGCTGTGATGCTGGGGTGGATGGAGCGTCCTACAGGAGTATGCCCCCCCCCCATGCTCAATGGTGAACCTAGAAGTGGACTGGAATGGATGGTCCACTTCCAGGTCTGCCGGGGTGCATGCCGGAGGGCCGCCCGCACCCCCCTGGCTCAGTGATCGGCCACAGGAGACCCTGGGTGCCCCCCCGACCCAGGAGGCACCAGTTGCCGAGCTGGAGGGGCACAGAGGGGCCCCCCTGTGCGCTCTCCAGCAGACCCAGAAGTGATTCTGGCCCACTTCCAGGTCTGCTGCCCCAGCATCTTAGCATTCATGAGCTGCCTGCTACCTGGAGATATGTAGAAAAAACATTTAAAGCTGTGTCTATGTCTGAACTGTAGAATCTGTCCGAATTGATTCAGAGAGTTCTGATTCAATTCGGAGAGATTAAATAGTCCTCTGATTTGATTTGGATTTGGAGATTCACCCACTGAATGGGGCTGAATCTCTGCCGAATTGAATCAAGGACCAAAGCTTCGCACAGCCCTACTGTCCACCATACTGCTTAGTTACTGTTAGTGGTGTCCATCAGGGTATGGATGTTCCAGGTTGCAAACTTCATTTCTTGATTTGGACCATGTATATCTCACCAGATGCAGTTTTCCAGTCAGATGAAATGAGACAGACTTTGTTTGGAACACCTTTTCTAGCTCCCTCCCCATATGGGGTGAGCAGAAAGGATTGTCATTAGGCCTATTCAATCATGACTGCAGCTGCCAAATTGAGTACCTGTCCCTGTTCTGTGTACAAAATGAACATCATTGCTTCCATGTAGGTCTGTGACTAGGGGCTTCCAGTAATCACTTGCATCTGCCCCCATTGCTACTCACCCATCACCACATGACTTGCTTTTGATGGAAGGCACCAGAGTGTTTCTTTGTTTAATATGAGGATGCCATTCTGTATCAGCAATGACATGATACTTAGCAAGAAAGAAACCTTTATCCAATGGCAAGGAAAACCTAGATGACCAGAGGTTTTTGTTCCAGTGTAGTCTTCATCTGCTTTTTGCCTCTCCCTAGGTGAGAACAAAGGGAGGGTACCTTAGCGCAGTGTAGGATGTGAGTCATCACCAGCAGGCATGACAGCTGCCCCTGGGGCACTGGTATTGTTACAAGGTGGATAGATGAGAGGGACAAAAGGAAAAAGCCGTGACCGTACTTTGGCGCTGCTTAGGAATATTGTATGCTGTTATTGGCACCTCATTTTAAGAATGATGTAGAAAAATTGGAAAGTATCCAGAGGCAAGTGACAACGATCATAAAAGAGTTGGAATGCAAGCTGTACAAGGAAAGGTTGAGAGAACTACATATATTTAGCTTGGAGAAAAGGAGATTAAGGGAGGGGACATGATGGCAGTCTTCAAATATTTGGAACACTGCCATAAATAAGAGGGAGAACAACTGTTCTCCCTTGTTGCAAAGGGCAGGATGTGAAGTAATATTTATAAATTGCAGCAAAGTAGATTTACATGAAGTCTCAGAAAAAAAAGTGTCAGAATGGTAGGACAGTAGAACAAGCCACTCAGGAACTTGTGGAGTCTCCTTCACCGGAAATTGTCAAGAAGCTGGATTTGCATTTTTCTGGGGTAGTATAGGAATGGCACTATACTAGGTCCCTGCCGCTATGAAAGGATATATTTCCTATGAGAGGAAAGCTGATAGAGCGTTTTAGTCTTTCCTTTCCAGAAGATGTGTTTAAACCAGAAAAAAGTTTGTGATGTCTATCCCACTGCAACATGATTGTTTCATTATTGTTTTGCCTTTTAAATCAGGATTTAGTTCTTAAGAGTTGTTGTATACAGCAGAGCTTTCCAATTTCTTAGCAGTCAGCAGCTGAATGCCCCATGGGTTGCACAAGCAGGGGTTGCATCAGCATGGGCTACATGCCTTTCATGTGCTTCCCTGCTGCATGGGGCAGGTGGGCAGTCTCACCCCCTCACTCTACTGCACCAGGCACTTTGGTGCTTCCTCTCTCCCTCCCACTGCACTGGCACTCCTGTACAGTGTAATGTGGGCACTTCTCTTCCCCCCACCCTTGCACCAGACACACAGGTGCTGTTGCCTCAGCCTCACCTTTAGCTCCCTGGGCATGGGCTCCTTTGTTGTGCAGCACTGTGCCATGCCACACTGCACTAGCACCCCACAGCAGTGCAGTGCTGCTCCACCCTGCCCTCTGGGGTTGGACAGGAAGTAGAAGCCAGAGGGAGAGACAGCCTGAAGCCTCTGTCTGCTGCTGCAGCCAAAATTATATGGGTAGTAGTGGCTGGGTGGGAGCCTGAGGCCTGAGCCCTCCCTGGATGCAGGTGGGCTTACTGTTGGACAGCCCTGACATACAGAATAAATCTTCAGAGCCACACACAAATGTTGCCTAATTAAGATACCTGTATTATTTCACTAAAGACAGATGTCCCTTTATTCACTTGGCTTTGTTACTTCTGTAATTTCTCTCGGTTCAAGCCAATATTGGATTGGACCACAAGTTTCTCTTTATGTTGTGGAAAGCCATAAAATAGGCCTTTGCATGTTTAAACTTCTCCAGTAGCAGTTATCAAGACAATGTGAAGTTGAAGTGTTTAGTTCTAATATTACATTTTTGATGCAGTGTGTTACTAAAAGCTAAACTGTTTAAGGGAACACCAATTGGTATTTGATACTAGCAAACAGTTCCATTTTAAAATAATCCCTAAAACAAAATCTGATGAAGTTTAGGCAATACCTAGAGGGGTGGGGAAACAAAAGAAATAATTATGTTGCTAAAAGTGCTACAAAATGTTAGGCAATTTTATTCTGGAGCATGTAAAAAGCACATAATGTATAACATTGCTTTCCTTTTAGATGCTGCAAAACAATGTAATATCTTAGAGCCTCAATGACTTGATACTTTGCTATGCTTTCTTTTCAGTGTTACCAGTCAATAACACATTCCAATTTTTTAAAGTGTATGAAATAAAATTAAAAAAAATCTCTGGGAAGATTCTTACGGTGCATAATTTTGGTTTTTTAAAAGTACATGCTTACATTTTCATCCCTGATGGATTTCTTTTTACTATTTCAGAGCAATGAACATAGGGCTATTTCTATCAGTGCCAGCATGTTTGCAGCGATGCTTGTCAACATCCACCAGAGAGCAGGGCAGCTCCAATACCCACATCTTTTATGCTGTGGAAATCGATGGAGACAGCAACACAGCCAGCTCCTTGGCCAAACAACATGGATTGCAGTTCATTTCAAAGGTCAGCGCATATTTAAACTTGCTTCATTACTCCCACCTTTATGCTTGAGATTTTCATTTTTTTAAAATCAGTTTACCTAGAGGTTCCTTTAGAGACAGAAAAATGAAAGTGCTGAGTCCTATTTTCATTTGGGGATATCAAGCTTTTTATCAAATTATAGAGGTGGCGTTCAGAATATTTCATATCTGATCAGAAAGAAAATCCAAAAATAATTTTCTCTTTATTCAGGAGTCTTTCAGGCAGTGGGACTGTTTTATTTATTACTTAATATTGTGCTCTAGTCAATCATTTTGAATTTAGACAGGAAAATAGAATTTTTATTTTTAAAAGAAAAAATACTAAGGAAAAATACTGTTGGAATAGAGTATATTTTCTTTTTAGAAATAAAAAATGTCTTGGATCCTTCTCTGCTAAACGTTTATTGTTTGTTAACCACACACCATTAAAATGAGGTAGTACATTAAACAAAGCATCTTACATTAGTTAATTACAGGCACTGTAACTCCAGAGCATTTGTACAACATATATCTTTCAGCTTTCAGAATCTTGACCATCTAATACAATCAGGAACACTTCCATTTTTCTTTAAACCAGGGTATCTCTGCATATGTTGTGTGTATATGCTTGTAAAATATAGATTGCATTGCACACGTTGCATTTAATTTAATCTTGCTATTTTTATATAGCTTTGCATATTAGCTAAATATAATTACGTGTCTATATACTGTATGTATATTAGCCAAATATAACATAATAAATGCACTTATCCAAAAGAGTTGCAGTTACTATAACATATATTTGTATATATACAGCAGAATATGTAATAAGAATATACATTTTGGTGATACAGTTTTGGATTTTCACTGTTTCTCATATAGAAAAATCTGATGCCAGTAAGAACAGATTACAAATAAAAATGTAACCTTACAACAGTCTGCATTTTTGTAGCACCTTTCACTGAATGATCTGATGATGAAAACATTTAGCAGATCTTAATGAATTAAACCTTTCAACAATCCTGTTGTTATTACCTCTACTTTTCAGGCACAAAAAGCCGAGGCAAAAGTTAAGTGTTTTCTTTGTCCAAAATTGGATCCATTCAGGAAAGCCTGGCCCAATGGGGGACAGAATTCAAATTTCTTGATTTTTCCCATCCTGTGCTTTAGCTATATGATCCAATGAGAAAACTTATTGTAGGGATAGTTGCATCTCGTATGCAATCTCAACAACAGTTACCTTTGAGCCCATCTGTGAGTACTGTCAATGGGTTTTGTGGGGAGGTGTGTTCAATTCTCTTCTAGTAAAAGGGTGTTGGCTGTGACTTTACCTTTATAATATTTATAGTATGGTAATGATTGTAGACACTATTGTTTGCAATGAATATATATATATATATATATATAAAATAAAATAGTTCTGTACTAATACTATTACAGGTTTTTTGTTTTTTGTTCTTTTTTAATTAAGGGATGGTTTCAAGGAGGGATGTGGAGAAGGGGGCAAATGGGTTTGAGGAAATCTCTTGCAGTTCTAACTGTGATGTAGAAGAATGTGGGGTAAGAGGAAGAGATGATCATTTTCCTTCTTCCCCATGAACTGGCCCAAATAGTATGCTGATCATACTCTTTATGGTATGTCAAATTGGGGCACATTATATTTGCAGTTAGGTTTTTGGAGTCTGTAGCAAAGAATATCAAACTAGCTTTGCTAGATTTCATATTTTATTCCAACAAATCCTTTTTTTAATATGAAGAGAGTATATAAGAAAAGCAAGAAGGTGAAAGTGAAATGCTAAAGAAATAGGAGGGTTTTATTTTCCCTTGTCTCTGCATTTCTGGCTTACAACCTGTTGTATAAGCAGCAACTACCTTTCTTAGCATTCTCTTTTCAAATATGAAGAAGCCTCTGTGGTATTTAAAGCTTATGGTCTTTAAGCTATGAGGAGCACTGGTGCAGTCTTTAAAGATTCAAATATGATTAGCTTAATATTTTTCCAACTTCTTGTTGGCTTGTAATAAGCTTACAGTGTGTGCTCTTGTGATGAGACTAGATGATGGTAAAACATGTATTTGAAAAAGAAATGTCAAAAGGAGCTTGGAAAACCTTGCTGTAGCTAATGCCTGGATGATATTGTAGTTAGTGGTGCATTAGTAGTTGTAGAGTTCTTGTTCTAGGTCCCAATATAACAAAGCATTAAAACCTGCGTAAATCTCCCTTCCCCTACCCCCCCAACCCCCATTTAGAAAAACACAAAAGCTTGTGTCCAAACAGGTGGGATTTAAGCATATGCTTAAGATTGAGCATGTCCTTCAGTGCTTTACTAGCTGAAGCGGGAGGTGAGGGGAGGAGAGGAAAGCTATGAAATTGGCCTCTTAGTTAAAATGTAGTTGTGTATAAGAATAACTTCAACAAATGAAACTGGTGTCTTATAAATAAGCTACTGTCACAACAGGAAAGAGCCTGTTATAGAAGTGGTAATTTTGTGTAACTATGACATCTTTACTTGAGCATGTAAGTTGCAATTCACAGTTTCAGTTTAAAAGCATAACCTCCCTTTGGCATAAATGTGTACATGCTTACTATGATATACTGAATAAAGAGAGTGAGTTAACTGTGTTACTTTGGAGTGCTTCCTCTCATTAAATGTCGTTACTTATTAATATGTAAATGCTTAGCAGCACAGTAGGAAAATTGTAAGTACCTATGAAAAAGGCTACCAATGAGATGCTAAACTGTAATGCACTTGTTCAAAGTGTAATTCTCAAATGACATTTATTATTATATTAAACCCAAAGCATAACACTCAATTTTTGTTTTTTAAGACACTTTCACATTTTCAAATTGTGTAACATTTAATTTAAAAATAAAAACAGTATATCTGAGAAATGCTTTGTAAAACTCAAAATATTATAATTTCTCTAGTAGCTAAAAGTGTTAGCATAAAGTTCCTGTAATTAAAACAATCCTTAAACTCTGTGAAGATACCCCTAGAGCCCTGTGTAGGAGATTTTCACAGTTCCAGTGTATCCAAAATATTTTGCAAAACATTACTCACTTTCACTGTAAGTTTTACATATTAAGGAGCTATCACTGCATTCTATAAATATTTAAGTTGGTTACTAATATTAAAGATGCACACATCAGAGGTATGCTTCAAAATTAAGTGTATATAGGATTCTTTTGTGCCATTCATTTTGAGTTCAGTCTTTTCTCTCTCTCTCATCTTCTTTTTTATGATTGTAATGTAGAAGGTAGGTAGCTGTGGGTGTTTTTCTCTGACTTGCTTTTTGCAGAAAGGACCTTTTATTGCTGTGTCAAGTTGCAGGAATTGAGGGCATAGTGAGAGGAGCTGTAACTTTACTTTTTGTTTCCATCCTTGCGATTTAAGGTAAAGCTGGGCAGAGGCTACAGACTTTCAACTGACTGTTTCAAAGGGGAGAAAAGTAAAAAGAAAAAATCTTTTAAAATAAGGTAGGTACACTAGCTGTGGCTCAGCAAAAACAATATCTTTTAATTGAGTTATATAGGGCATATTCTGTCTTCACTGAATGCAACAGCAAAACTCCTGGGGCATGTTCCAACAAGTGTGCAGGTGTGGTTTGAGGTGCTTCAAACCACACATAGCACATGTACACCCATTTGCCACACTAATTTGCAGTGTGGTGGGGGTAGTGGGGGGTTGGGTTTGACAACGGGAGATACTGGTGTAAAAAAAAAAATGCTGCTAAAAAAGCAGTGTGGCGCATACATGGCAGCAAAGTACACCATCAGAAAGGGAGCCTGCCTGGCCAGAGCCATGTTCTGGCTGCTGGCCAGGCTCTGAGTGGTCAGCTTGGTCCTGCTGCTGTCCCGGAGGCCTCCACTACCCCATACAGAGCAACTTGCTCTGCAGTGGAGCATGCATGCAGGGATGTGTCTGGGCACAGATAGCAGCGGCACAGATATGTGCTGCTGCTATTTGTTCTGTGAGGAACGTGCACTCCTGTACACGCATGCTCATTGGGTTGCACCCCTGTTGACTTTCATGGGAGCATGTGGCACATGGTTTAGGAGGATCTTTTTTTTTTTCCTGTCCAGATATACTCAGTTCACTGTCTGGGAAATTAGTAATTAGTTATTAGTAGACCCATGCCAAACATTCATAATGAAACCTTGAAGCCAAATGACAATCACATTTCTGTATTAAACTTAAAGCTCTCCAATGGGTCGTATTTTATATTTCCTATTGGCGATTGTACTACTTCTTTTTTTTATGATGGGGGCACCAAAATGTGGGGGTTCTGGGAGAGGTTTGCTTCAAAACAGCATACCCTGTTGTTACCTACAGAAGAGGGATCTGTTGTGAAGTAGCTTTTAGTCATTAACTACCCTGAGACTCTTTTAACCAAATCCCTGAATACTTGATGCTTTTGTGACAGATCAGATTAAACAAACCTGTTTTGTTGGGAGGTTTTTTTGGTGTTCTAAGAGATTTGTGCTTTGAAAGTAAAAGTGAAAGTAGGACGGTTGGGAAGTAGTGTAACTCAAACTTGCTAAAAACAAAAATGGAATATGGTGTATTTCCATAAAGATATTTTTCCCTTGCTTTTAAAAAACAAAAACCTGTATGTCTGTGATGTATTAACTTCCTAACACAGCTGAGTTTCATCATTGTAGAACATCTGTTTTGTTTCTGTTACTCTATTAAAAGTGCTGATATATTTGTCAGTAAACTATTCCACGCATCAGTGTGGTATGGAGATACAGAGTATTCAGATTAATTTTGATATCACAAAAAAAGTCCTGTCTACTTCAGGACACAGTTAATCCATACATATATTGGGATATTGGAACCTAATATTTACAGTATTTTATAATGAAGATTCACAGCTATAACATTATCATTTTTACAAGGCAACCCCCCCTCCCCACCAAGATACCGGAAAAAGTCAGTAAAACTAAGAAAAATTGTACAGAAAAGTACACAGTGTTTGGTAGCTATTTCTGGGGCTTTTTGATTG